CTTCTTCTTAGTCTAGGCCCAATGGTGCTGGGCCTGTTGTCTCTCCCCTAGATGACATCAGATGGAAGACAAAAACCATGTCTTTTTCTACACATAAAATTACTTCATAAGATTTTGGGACTTTTCATACAGGGAGAAAGTTTGGGGGAGAAGATTATTTTTTCTCCCTCAGTGCAGAGAAAACTATTTGTCTCTGCATGCAAAGACAGATTGGATGAGGAGCTACATCCTCACCGAGTTCCCCTCTCCAGGGGCTTCCCAAGCTGTCAGATGTGAGGACCAACAATGATTTTTTTTTCCTCCTGGTGTGCAAAAGACTGGTATCATATTCATAGAATCATGGAGTTGGAAGGGATCACAAAAACCATACTGTCCAATGCCCTGCCATGCAGAAATACCCACTACAGCACTCCTGAAAGATCCATCCAATCTCTGTTTAAAGACCTCCAAAGATAATGAATCTATCCTACAGAATCCTGGGATATATAGTTTGATGAGGCAGCACACCTCTCTGACAGACCAGGGTGAAATATCTAACCAAACTACAAATCCTAGGATTCCACAGGATGGAATCATGACAGTTAAAGCGGCGTCAAACTGCTTTATTTCTCCAGTCTGGACATATCCCTAGTCTACGAAAGCTTATGTTACAACCTCTTTCATGCAGTTAGTCTCAAAAGTGCAACAAGATCCCTTTGTATATTCAGACTGACACAGCTATGGTCTCTGGAAACTAAACCTGAACATAATTTTTTGAATATGGTCCACCGAAGATTTTCATAATGGAATAATGGTGAAAGTGATACGGTTTCAGTCTGTAGTCCTAATCTGTGCTTAGCTGCCTAACTAAAAATAAACTGAAATGCTGCTTCTTTTCTTCTTTCTTATTGGAATTGGCCAATCTCCTTCAAAGCAAACACGCAGCTTGTTTCTTCAGGGCAGGGAGACACTTGTATTTAAGGCCATTTCTCATTATATTTGGTTATTGCTGGTGTTCGTACCACCCTTTGCTGGCCCCTAGAGCTCTAGCAAATACCACTGACGGTAATATTTTTGAGCTGTTCCATAGTACTTTTTTTGTTGTCGTTAAAAATACAACAACAACACACAGACACACAACCTTCTCTGCTTCGGCTGGCAGGGCTCCCGGAAACTTGCTGGAAGTTAGTGTGGTGGAATCTTTTTAAAGAAAAGATTTTTCCGCTTCATTATTTTTTAAAAAAAATATCTATTTTGCTTGCTGAATCCAGTGTCCAACCTTTGGAAAACAAAGGAAAGCCCCATTTTTTAGCAATGTCGAAATAGGGTGACTTTTGCAGCCTGGCTTATATTAGTTGCAATTTAAAAATTGATGAGCTCAAACTTTTAAGTTCATATAAGTGTAATTAATACCTTTATTGTTGTTGTTTTGTGCCTTCAGGTCATTTCCAACCTATGGTTACCCTAAGGCAAGCCTATCACAGGATTTTCTTGGCATGTTTCTTCAAAGAGGGTTTGGCATTGCCATCCTTTGAAGCTGAGAAAGTGTGATCTTTCTTAGACCAGCCCAAAAGGGCAAAAAAAATGGGTGTTTTTTTTTTCTCTTTTGGTTGACCTATTAAACATCTAACATGGGTGTTGGCATTTTTATTATGGCGAACACAACCACCGTGGCATTTTGATTAAATTGATGAGGTTGTTAATTTTAAAAAAATAATTGGGTTTAGGGTTCATTTTCAAAGGGAGCTTCAGTTATAGATAGGGTTGCCAGAGGGAATTTCAGCAGACATTGCTTGTCACACAGGAGTTAACAAGCAACACCTGATGAAATGTCCTCTTTTATGCAACCAGTGTGAACCAGTGCGACGTAGTGGTTTGAGTGCGGGGCTGTGATTCTGGAGACCAGGGTTCAATTCCTGGCTTGGCCATGGAAACCCACTGGGTGATCTTGGGCAAGACACACTCTCTCAGCCTCAGGGAAAGGCAAGAGCAAACCCCCTCTGAACAAATTTTGCCAAGAAAACCCCATGATCAGTTAGCCGTGCGGTTGTCACAAGTTGGAAACGGCTTGAAAGGCACACAGCAACAACAAATGCAAGCATTAAAGGGAGAGGAGCCCTCCCCGGTTTTCAGTGTGGCAATCCTAATTCTGGGTGTTCAGACAGGGCTTCCCATGGGACATGCATGTACTGGCCACCCTTGTTGGGGTATGTTGAAGAAGTTGCTTTGTTTTGCGTGTGTGCGTGCATCCAGATCAGTGGAAATAATTTCATCTCCAGTGCATAGATATCTTGCACCACAAAAGTATTGCAGGAGTCATTCTGATGTCTTACTTTAGTGCAATGATGCAAATCATCTCACTCATGCATTCTGGGTTTGCTGTTCACACTCAGAGACAACCCACTGACAATGAGAGTATGTTGCTTCTACGTTGCATCATGGTTAATCAAAAAGCAACATGCCACATTCCATGCCCCCATAGATTGGTTGGGACAAACAAGTCCCCCAATGGCAAAACCATTCATTTGTCCCAATGCACGTACGCTAAGAATAGTAATGTAGTAAAGAGCTGCAGCTATGTTTACAATTCTTTAGCTGACAGTGTTCTAGCATGCCTTTTGTTGTTGCTGTGTGCCTTCATGTCATTTCCAGCTTATGGCAACCCTAAGGTGAACCTACCATGGGGTTTTCTTGGCAAGATTTATTCACAGGAGGTTTGACATTGCTTTTCCCTGAGGCTGAGAGAGTGTGACTTGCCCATAGTCACCCATTGGGTTTCATGGCCAAGCTGGGGATTGAACCCTGGTCTCCAGAGTTGTAGTCCAACACTGAAACCACTCCGCCACACTGCCTACATTGAAGGATTAATTCTGGGCAGATTCTGAATCAAAACTTGAATCTGGAGGACTCTAATGTCTCATCCTAGATTTTGGATTCATTTCCATTTATATCTGGACAAAGTTTTAATTTGATGTCTTTTAATCGGGTTCGCTACATCTTTATCTTGCATTTTATATGTAGTTTAAACTGTTTTAAACTTTTTGATAAATTGCCTATATACATATTTTAAAACTTTTTTTGTACCATATATTGTTTAAACTGTATTGTGCTTTAATTTTACATTGTAAGCCACCCTGGGTCTCATACTGGGAGAAAGGTGGGATATCAAGGGAAAAAAAATACAAGGTAATTGGAAGCTGGACACAATCCTTGATCGTTGTCTACAATTCATATTTGTTTTGTCACTTTCTTGGACCAAAGTGTCTTTGTAACCTTCATGTAAACCTCACTTTCCATCTTCCTTAGAGTCAATGAGCATATGACAGTTCAGCTAAATTTCTGTTCCCAAACATACTGTGTAGTTTTTGATAGGAAGTAACAGCAAGCAAAAGGAACCACATGTTTAGCTTTACTGTCCATTTCAGACTATTGGCTCGACACATCTTTCTTTTCTTCCTGCCCAAATCTCTGAAAATAAGTTTGTATAAATATCCGTGTACTTGCTACTAATGGAGTCCAGAGATGTCTTGGATGTTGACAACATTATTTTTAGACTGGCCCCAGAAGTGGTTTCTGCTTTGACTGGAGTGTCATATGCATTTTTTTTTTAATGTTCTACAATTTCCTTATCGTGGGTAAGAAGAAAGTTCAGAGAGGGAGAATTCAGAGCTCCCACCTTGTTTTGTTTCTCTTGTTAGGACTTAAATAGCATGTTGCTTTGGATGATCATCTCTTGGCTTAATCAGCCTCTTTTATCCCTTTCCTTGAGCATGCAGTGGAAGGAAAAACAATAAAATACAGGCAATCCTCCATTAACATTGACTTCATGTTTTGTCCACATTTGAAAGCTATGGTTAATAAGTTTTGGAACAAGCCAGGATATGAAACCAGCTTCAAGCTATTATTTGATATGAAGTCGAAAGCTTTCACGGCCAGTGTTGATAGTTTTCTGTGAGTTTTCTGGGCTATCTGCCTGCCTGCTGCTTGGTGTTGCTGCTGGCAGCCTTACCTGGAGGACTGCTGCTTCCTGAGAGACCGCTCCCTTCAGCGGTGATGTAATGCCTGTGTTCTGCCCCTAGGAGGCATTAATTTTTTTTCTTTAGCATTAGTTTCAGCATACGAGAAGTTAATCAAAGTACTTAATGAAAGAAGAGACAGTGTGCTGCAGTACTTTGAGTGTTGGACTAGTATTCTGGGAAACCAGGGTTTGAATAAGTGCTTAGTCATAGAAACCCACTAAGTGACTATGGGCATGTCCTCCTTATCATACAGGGAATGGGAGTGAAACCCGTCCTTGTCCTGTATGTGACTGAGATCGCGCAAAATGCATTCATACATTCGTGTTGATCTGTCATTAAACTGTCAGTGAACTGGAATTGCATTAATGTGTTCTTAAGTTAATACAAAATGGGCAAAGATGGGACAATTCCACTTCATTGATGGGACGACGACGACGACGACGATGATGATAATAATAATAATAATTGCTTCAGCAACCGGGGCAGCGTACAACAGATTAAAACTGATAAACAAAGTAAAACATTCCGTCAACCAATCCCTAACCCTCCCTCCCCTTAAAACTTAATTAAACTAGTGCTGAGTTAAAATGACACATTTGTCCTATATAAAATCAACTTAGAGCAACAGGCAATAGCAGCAAGGAGGAGGATGGGTAAGCGATCACCTCCTATGATGGGATCAGTGCGACGTAATGTGAAAGTCTTTCCCATGATCGTGGTCAATCGCAGTTTAATGATGGGACACTTATAGGATAAGTGTGATGTCGTATGAAAATCTCGTGGTTGCGCTATAGGGATGGGAAAAGGACGGGACAATGACGTTTCATCCCCTGTATAATAATCTCTGTGTCTTACATGAAGGTAGTGACACACTTCCTCTGAATAAATGATGCTGAGAAAACCCTATATAGGGTTGCCATAAATTAGTCATGCATATGACCATGGCAACAACCTAGTGACAGAATAATCCATTAGGCCCTAGGGAGAGAATCCATTCATTAAGTGACCAAACAATGATTCTTTCAAAAATATATAAGTTCAGTGAGACTATATAGGTTCAATTCAGGCATCATGCCAAACCATGTTCAAGGAAGCATAACCTTGGTTTAGCATGCTGTCCATGTTGACAAACCATTGTTTTGACTCACCAGCAAACCAGAATCAGAAGACATGATTTGCAGTGGATTTGCTTTAGCTGTGATTTAGTGTGTTGGCTGAATTAACAAGCCATAGTTAATAGTTGTTACTTTTGCCACCTGAGTGATGAAAATGGAAAAATAGTATTTAGGAAGGATGGATACATGGTGATTTGATTTTTGGACATATGAAGGTTGCAGTAAGAAGCTTTTTTCGAATAGGAAATATGACCAATTTTGACCTGATGTGCTCAAAACCTTTCACAAAGCTATGACCATCTACAGCATCCATTATCCAATTGTCTCTGTTTTTATTGTTGTAGGGGCAACCCTTGCCATTGAAGGCTAATCCAGAAGAAGTACCCTCCTTCAGTGAGATACAGACCTGATGAAGATACAACCATGGGTAAGGTTCTGTTAATTTCATGTTTTTTTACGATTGGGGGACATTTTTGATTTGTTGGGCTTTCCAGTACTTTGGTGTACTGCATATGCTCTTATTCAAATGAGAGTTTGGATTTGTTACTGGATGTCAGTCTAGTTAAAGAGACCAGCCTGAACAAGATAGAGGGAGGAAAACCCAAGGGCTCCACTAACCAGTTTGGTGCTGAAGAGAGATTAGGATCTTGGACAGAGATTGTTGGAAGGTAGGAGTAAAAGGTTTGTGATCATGACATTAATTCTATATCAAGGGAGGAGGGAACAGGGTGGGAATAATATATCCTTCTACATAAGGTCAGGTTGCCTTATCACCTTAGGTGGACCCGACTTGAGCCTGATTAAGAGAACCTAGTTTGCATCTTTACTTTGAGTGCTTTAGCATGTCAATTAAAGCAACAGTGTCCTTTGCAGAAAATGGAAAGAGTTACTTTTGGATTATGACTCTTAGAATCCTCCAACCAGCCTAGCCAATGAGGCAAAATCAACATTTTTTTACTCTCTCTTTCTTTGGTGTAGCTGTTAGTTGCTTCTAGCCACCAGAGTTTGGATCTGTGGGACGTTCAGTAGCGGAGCTCTGCAGGGCTTCCATGATCTTCAGAGATCTTCTTGCCTTTCACCATAGGCTTCAGTCTTCCACAGTATTTTTTCCCTCCCTGCCCATGCAAGCTTTGTTGTTAACTGCCCTCGAGTCAATCTTGACTCATGGCGACCTTATGGATGGTACATCTCCCAGACCCTCTGTCCTCCAACCTCTTAATACCCGTGACCTCCTTAATAGACTCTATCCATCTGGCATGTGGCCTTCCTCTCTTCCTACCTCCCTCCACCTTCCCCAGCATTGTTGTCTTTTCCAAAGAGTCCTCCCTTCTCATGATGTGTCGGAAGGATGACAGTCTCAGTTTGTTCATCTTGGCTTCCAGGGAGGTTTCCAGTTTGATCTGCTTTAGGATCCACTTGTTTGTCCTTTTGGCTGTCCATGGGATCCTCAGCACTCTTCTCCAGCTCCACATTCTCTCAAATGAATTCATTTTCTTCCTATCATCTTTCTTAACTGTCCCGCTCTCACATCCATATACGGTAATAGGGAATGCAATGGCTTGTATGATTTAACTTTTGTGCTGAGTTGTATATCTTTGCATTTTAGAATCTTTTCTAGTTCTTTCATAGCCACCCTCCCCATTCTTAGTCTTCTTCTGATTTCCTGACTGTAGTCCCCATTTTTATCAATGTTTGATCCCAGGTATGGGAAACAGTCAAGTCAGGTATGGGAGTCAGACAAGACTGCATCCTTTCATCCTTATCTGTTCAACTTGCATGCAGAACATATTATAAGAAAAACAGGCTTGGATACAGAAGAAGGAGAAGCGAAAATAGGAGGAAGGAAGATCAACAATCTAAGATATGCAGATGACACCATAATACTAGCAGAAAACCTCACAGACCTGGAACACCTACTAAGGAAGATCAAAGAAGAAAGTGTAAAGGCAGGCTTAATGCTGAACATAAGGAAAACAAAAATAGTGACCACCGAGGACCTTCACAAGTTCAACCATGCAAGCTGGAGGGCATTAAACTGGAGAAGGTTGACCATTGGTGGGAGTTCCTAGTCTTAATGATTGTTGTTCAAGTCTTTTACCCACCAGTTTAGGAGATACTATACCTTGGGTCGTTTGGTGAGAATGCTTATTGAGGATTCAGAGGAGCATTTGTGGGTTCTAGAGTTTGTATTCTAGCAGGAGTTATTCTTACAGATTTTATTGAATTAGAAGCTAACAAGTGTACATTTCTGGCTGATCATATCCCTTGTTTGACCCGCATTCTATAACTAAATGGAGATTGTAGAGTCATCACATGTGAGGTGTACTTCAGAAATAACAGTGAGAAAGGTCCACTCCCACAGCCCCATTGGCGTGCCAAGGGAGGTGATACTGGTTGGCAAGATGAGGATTGTAAAGAGTGGTCTGTGAAGAAAGCAAATGTTTATTTTTAACCATGAGTGGGTGGAGTTTTGATCCCTAAGTGGGAGGCTCTTTGAAGTATAAATAGTAACATCAAGGCTAATTATCCAGGCTAACAGGTTCTGTCACCATATTCTGGATTGTAAACCGTGAAACTGGAAAAGAACTTACCTAGCCAGTTTTCCCATAATCCGCACTGACTAAGATTCTAAACAAAGCTAGCATTCAATGATTATTTTCATTTTGCACTAGACATTTGATGGATCAAGTAGAACACAAATCACTTTGAAAATCCAAA